CAGTTGGCCTCGGCCCATCGATCCAGTCCTTCAAGGCAGCTGAAAAACTCCTTCCCTGTGTGTCATGAGTATCTTCTTTTCCAGTTAGATGAGATGGAAAGACATCTTTTGTTTTAGAACTCCTTTGGTTTCATTGGGCCTGTTTTTTTTTTTATTAAGTAAAATAAGTTTTCTTCATCACAAAGATTTCCTGATGTCAGACCCTAGGGATTTTATATGACACAAAATTTAGCCTCTAACGGGCTTGCAGCTTTTTCAAAAATATTTGTTATTTTAAAATCAAGTCTTGATATCGATATTATGGCTTCTTTAGGACAAGAATATTTGTATGTGGATGCAATCCTCATTATCTGCATCTCACTTTTTTTTTTAAAAAAAAAAACAAAACAAATTAAATAAACAACACAAGGAGTGTGCATTTCTGATTTTTTCCCTGTACAGAATCTGTACAAAGTACCTAGGCAGAGCACATATTTATGAGTCAATTTTAATAAATCCTGTTTTACATTTCAAAGGTTCAAATTCAGGCTCTGCGTGTTTGCATATCTGGAATGGTATGTTAAACTGCCCTCGAGGCCACATTCAAGAAATATTTATCAGATTTCACAGAGAATTTCCAATAAAAACATGTATAATCAATGAGCAGCAAGTCATTTGGGTTTTAGTTCCACCTCTCATCTTTTCAGAGTGGAGAGAAGATGGGCCTTTGTTGCAAGTCCCAGTAGCCGTGATGGTCAGGGCTTTTTTTAATTAATAAAACAAAATAGAAAGGAGAATAAAACCAGACCAGCTCCAATATAAATGCTTTCAAAAGCCATTTAATTTAAAAACAAGAAGAATTCCAGACCATCATGATTCCAGTGTTCAGTCTTCTATTCATACTGGTTTTGGTATCATATATCATGAGAGAAACTGGGTTCTTCAAGAAATAGTAAATCATCGTGGCTAAACCTCTAACTACTCGTTCTTTGCACTTGTACCACATTGTGGTGAAGTTCTGCAGTCTTTTTTCCCTATCTTATATGGGAGAGAGGATGGATTTTAACTACATGGGGACTGAAATACAGTCCGGAGGCAATGCACTAATCAGTCTTTTTTGGTTCTTCATTAAGTTAAAAATGCCTATAATAAAAATGATATAAATAACATTCAGTGTCCCATATTGTTCAAGAAAAGGGAAATTATAGCTTTAATGTTCCACTGAGAGATGATGAATACAATTTTCTCCCTCTGAGTTTGCACACAGTAATAAAATATTGATCTTTATGACAAAACAAGTTAGATTTGTATGGAGAACAGTTCAGGAGCGTTTCATGGCTCGCAGCAATGATGGCAGAGCATATAACATTAAAGATTAAGTGTCTGTTCACTGAATTAATGCCCCAATGTAGCCAAGTAAAGGGTTTTGCAAAGAGACGTAATAGTTTCTTCTCCTTGTTTATGAGTTTCCAAGTCATCATCGTTTAATTTATCATCTGTATTACTGCAGATCAATTTGACATGGGTTATTAACATATCTGGCTCCTGTGCTCCAAGCCATATGTCCCCAATGTAAACAGAAGTCAGGAATACACAAACAGCTGTGGAAGAAAAATTAAGAGAAAAATCAGAACAGATATTCTTCTACGTCCACACAGTAATACAAAACCAAACCATTTTACCTCCAGACCTATGTTTTAAAACAGTTTCCTAACTCTTTTCCTACATGGAAAATTTGTGGGGTTTCTGGCCATGCAAAGCCAATGATCCTCCTCACACTAAGGAAAGAAAACAGTTTCTTGCTAGCACAACCTTCTGACCTCTTTAAATAAAAAAGTTTGAAATCTGACCTGTGGCTTTTGCTATCAAATGATAACATTGAACAGCATATGGATCAGAACCCATACCCACATGGACGCATTTGTTGCAGACTGTTTTTCCCCTTGGAATTTTATTTTTTATTCCTCACTGAACTCTTTTTAGTCCTAGAAAGGAAAGTTTCTTTGAGGGACTATGACTGTTGTACTATCAGAAACCTGCACAGTGTGACCCTATTCTGTGCTACCAACCCCTGTGCCCATACCACCAAAGGCATAGCTTTTACTTTGTGAAGTTACGAGCACCAACGGACATGGGCAAACTTCAAACTGTTTTGATGAATTAAAAAAAAGGTGGAACTACCTACTTTCTACCATTACCGCCTTGTAACATGAGTGAAAAGGAAAAGACGCGTTACCTTTCTTGTTCGCATCCTCTTCCGTCATTGCTGACAGGCACAACGTTTTCACAAGTTCATGAAAGCTGTTGTTGGTCAGGCCCTGAGCATCCATTAGGTGAAGCATGATTGAACTGAACAAACAGAGCTCCTTAAACAGCCCAGCCATCCCACTACTGGCCTCGCAGATCTGGGTGTAAAACTTGAAGATGTTGTTTCTCAATGTCTTATCCCTGAGCACCTCCTGCACTGCCACTGGGTGCGGTAAGATGCAATTCTGTAGCCACCGCAGAGTTAATGAAACATTTTGCATATTGAGACTATGCTCAACCATGGACTTGACGAGCCATTTAGTTACTACGTAAGTGGATGCACAGGTAAGATTGACTGTTTCATCCGCAAGGTCGGCACATTTGAGGGGCTCCCCTCGATGTTTGGTAGGCAGCGCTGGGAAAACAGGCTCCCAATGGGCAAATATGGAATTCAGATGATCTCTGCATTTCTCCAGCTCAGAGGCTTTCAGGTCTGCAACAATGTCGTCTTCTCTTTCTCTCTCATTCTTTTTCCGAATGTGATGATATGCATGAACTGAGGCTTGAGATTTGTTCTTTTCTTTAATATTTTCTGTAAGAAGAAAAACACCACCAAAACAAACATCAGATACTCCAGAGGGTTTTCTTGGTGCAAAATTATACAAGAAAGACGGTATCATGTGTTGTTTCAGTTGCTAAAAGGATAAGTACTAGCCTCATTTAGCAGCCTAATTAGGCCTATGCAATTCAGAGCAAATGGGCTACAGGCAGCTCCCAGTGACTCACAGGCTGAAACACTTTTCTGAACTGGATTGTTTAACTCTGAGGTGAGCACTAATGCCACCCAGGCCCTGGCCCACAGCCCAGCGAAGCCAAGGCAGTATTCCAGAGGTCCACGAGATGCCGTTTTGCCAGTAAGGCTACATTATTTACACCACCTCATGAGAAATGCGCAAGCCGCTATTCTCTGGGCTAGCGGAGGCACGGCACGCGCCTGCCTATGGAAGGAGATACCAGCACAGCGACGTTGCTTTTGAATGGCGCAGGCTGAAGCAGCGAAGTCTGCCCTCCTCCAGCACAGCTGCATCCTGGCCGAGTGTCTGGCTGGCGAGGCGCTGTCAAGCAAGGGCACGTGAAGTTTTCACACCCCAAGGGAAAAGATAGGCAGCCCAACTTTGTAATGTGGAGCTTGCCCTCCGTTAGATGCTGCCTGTGTCACGGGAGCAGCAAAGCTCCCAAACAGCAACAGCACTTTGCCACCACCATACTGTACAGAGCATTTTATGGCAATTTGCTTTCAAGGAATCACTGAGAAAATCATCAGAAATTTCAATGATGTTGCACTCTGAAGCTTAAAATCAACCAAATGCATTTCAGTGTTTTTTCCTGGGGGCTGTGAGGGATGGGGACAACTCCTGAAATGTAACCTCAGAAACAAAGTTTCAGAGAAGGACCCATTTCAGTGACTGCTTTATAAGCTCCTGAGGCTTGGAGCAACAGATATTTTTTAAAACCTCATATATAGTAAGTTGCAGATGTCACTACAATTCTCTGAAAATCCTCAGAAAGACACTAAAAGGGTATGAAAAACTTTAGAAAAACTAAAGCTTTTATAGTATCCCTTAAATACAGTGATACTTTAAAAATTAGTTTAACTGATACAGAACACTTAAAGAAACCTATAGAAGTTTATTATGTGCACCAAGAGCAGTTGTTGTATTTGCAGGAAACCAGCGTTATTTAACACCTCCCACTACAAAGTTCCTTCTACATTTTATTCACAGAGATAACAAGAGAGAAGTCATACAAGTCCAAATGTATTTTTGCTTTCTTCCAACACTGATGACAATAAGAAAAATTAACTATTTCATTTTCGTTTGCTCTACTGCTAGTTTTTACTCATATTTCACTTTCAGATCTCCCATCCACACTCAGAATGGTTCAAAACTTTGAGGACAAAGCCTCCAAGCATTGTTTTTTTTAAGACTTCATTTAAGAATACAATTTTTCAAAGCCTGACCCTAGATCTGCAACTAAGTTTCATTTTAAAGCTCCTTCCCTTTTTAAAACTGTATTTCTAAAGAACTTCTAGAATTGTATTAAAGTTAGAAATCACTACAATAAAGACCTGAAAAATGGCTTTCCATTTCAGTTCCTCGTCCCCCAAGCTATATCAGATTGTCTGACAAAAGTCATTAATACTTCTTTCTATAAAGTTTGCCTCACTTGTATGGTTAGCTTATAAAGGCCTCAACAGTATTACTTTTCTGAAATATTTTAGTACTTACTAAGTAATTCTTTGATTTCGTATTTCTGAGCAAGAGCCTGCACATCCTCTTGCAGTTGCAGGTCTTTTTCAATGATGCTCCACTTATGCAGCAGCAGCAGGATCTCTTTGTTCGAGAGAACGCTGTCATTCACAGTGAACCGGCTCATTTCTTTGAAGGCCTCAACAACTATAGCACGATATTCCAGCACAGAATTGAGTGTACTGAAAAACTGAGTCAGTTTGGCTAGATCTAAATTAGTCCTATGAAAAGAAAACAAAAGTGCCACGTATTTTTCTGCATGCTAATTAATAAAATAAAATAAGTACAGGTTTTTTTCTCCTTACAGTCTCTTCCTACAGTTTTCTCCTGCAGTTCTCTAGACATACACTTTTTTTAATCAGGATGCCAGTAATAATTAGTTTCATTCCCACTGAATCCCCAGTGCTTCGCTCCATTACTGTTTGGCAGAACAAACCATAGTCTTTGCCCTACTGCCTGTAAATAGCAAACGCAGGTGGCACACAAGCAAGAGGCCAGAGGTCCGGAGCTTCACCTACACTTTTTTATTTTGCATGAATTTTCAAAATTTTGAGGAAATAAAAATAAACATAGCTTCTCCAGGCTGTGGCAGTACTTGTCTGCACGAAGAGCTGCAGGTGCTATTATGAACGCAAACAGAATTGGTTACCCATTTGCCTTCTACTATCCCTGCTGCAACTGCTGTGCTTAGACAGGTTAAGCGCTCTAGATCTGCAGAGAAGAGACTGACCCTTCTTAACTTTGCACAGTTTCTCCTCCTACAGTTTGCAGGCATGGTACAGACACAGAAAGAGTCTAAAGCTTCGGAGAATATGAAAGATCCTTGCAGCAAATAGCATGGCTAACTGCAGGCTCTAATCCAGCAGGAAAAAGTAAAATGTAGCAGCTTAAAAACGGCCAACAATTAAGGATGTAGAACTTGACAGTAACTGTGCATCAGTTGTTATTTCATTCCAATTTATTTAAACAGCTAAATCTTGCTGTCAAAGAAATCTCATCAAGATTCACTACTCAACATTCAAACTGAAGGGGAAAAAAAGCATTAAACTACCAGAGATCACGAAATTCTTCTGGCCTTAATAAATTTCAAACTGGACAGAAGATGACATGCAAATTGATTAAAAAGCTAAAAAAAAAAGGACGACTTACCGAATGTGTTTGATTAATGTGATCAAAACATACAGAAATTCATTTACAAGCTGAATTGGAAGAAACTTCCTGTTCTCCTGGGATTGATTCTTGCTTTCTCTCTTGCATCCTAAATTTGTTAGCCACAGAGTATGGAGTAAGGAAATAATTTTATTTAACAGCTTGTTTTCCAGAAACCTGAAAAACAAAAGAAAGAAGCAAACACCCGTTTGGAAGGCAGATCCTAACCAAGAACCAGACCATCACCTAGAGGGGACCATATTCTAGTGCACTTTTGGAGCCATGAATGGCAATAGGTGCCTCTCAGCCAGGACCCCATCAGGGCACGACAGTGCACCCCTTTGAAGCCCCAGCCACACGCAGGCCCTGGTTACTGCTCTCCGCTTGCCATGCTGCAGCTGGGGAAACACCGCAGTGTACGCCTTCCATAGAGCGCAAGAGCTCTCGATCTCCAGGTGTAAGAAATCAGGAAAGGAAGGCAAGAGACCGGTACGGCTGAGTCGAGACCTGCTGGTCAAACTAAAGGGCAAGAAGGAAATGCACAGGTAGGGGAAGCAGGGACAGGTATCCTGGGAAGAGTATAGGGATGCTGCCCGGTTGGTCAGGATGGCCAAGGCACGGATGGAGCTGAACTTGGCAAGGGATGCAAAGAACAGTAAGAAGGGCTTGTCAGCCAGAAAAGGAAAAGAAAGCGTATCCCCTCCTCAATGAGCAAGACTGGCAAACTGGTAACAACGGACGAGGAGAAGGCTGAGGTACTCAACAACTTTTTTGCCTCGGTCTTCACTGGCAAGCTCTCTTCCCACTCCTCTCGAGTGGATGGACCGCAAGGTGGGGACTGGGGGAGCAAAGTCCCTCCCACTGTAAGAGAAGATCAGGTTCGTGACCACCTGAGGAACCTGAATATACATAAGTCTATGGGACCTGACAAGATACATTCCAGAGTCCTGAGGGAACTGGCTGATAGAGCCGGGGGGGAATGGGTTGATGTTTTTGCCAAGCCACTCTCCATGATACTTGAAAGGTCATGACAGTCAGGTGAAGATCCTGAAAAAGGGAAACATGCACCCATTTTTAAAAAAGGGTAGAAAGGAGGACCCTGGGAACTACTGACCTGTCAGCCTCACCTCTGTGCCTGGGAAGATGATGGAACGGATCCTCCTGGAAGCTATGCTACGGCACATGGAGGACAGGGAGGTGATTTGAGACAGCCAGCATGGCTTCACCAAGGGCAAGGCCTGCCTGACCAACCTAGTGGCCTTCTGTGATGTCTGTGATGGAGAACTCCATCAGTGGACAAGGGAAGAGCTACAGATGTCATCTATCTGGACTTCTGTAAGGCCTTTGACCAGTCCCCTGCAACATCCTTCTCTCTAAATTGGAGAGAC